CTTATAGTAGATATAAACGGCTGCCAGCAGGTCTTCTGTCACTGCTGCACAGACACAAACACGTACAGATATTAAACATGCACTTCAGTTTGCAAGCTAGTATCTGATCCCAACACTTAAACACCGAAACAAACACTAAAATCTCTTCAGTTTGAGGGTGTGTTTATTAAATCAGACACATTCTGAGATACACGAAGCACGTCCTTACTTTTGCTCCTCTGTGTGAGCACCATCTTCCACACTGTTCCCAGCAGCATGTGCAGCTGCCTGTAGCTCAGCTTCACCGCGCTGCCCAGAGTGTCTCGGACAAACGTCCTCAGCGGCGTCAGCCAGTCTCCGTCCGCCTCTCGACCCAGACCCTGCTTCTGGCTGAGCGACACCATCACCTGGCAGAGCGTGATGTTCAGGGCCAGGGGCTCCACTGTCAGACCGAGAACAGCTGCAGGCTGTTTACTCCTGCAGAGAGGACAGAAAGAGATCAGCGATTATTCACAGTCAATGTTTTTTTGACCAGTAGGACTCTTCTGGGTGGATGACATAAACAGTTTCTGAATTCAAACATAGCAAAGCCTGAGACACACCTATAACTAGTGCAGCTCCACACCCAAACCTGTTCGCGTTTCTTGTCTTTATGACAGTGATCATACAAATCTCAATATGACAAAGGCTCCATAGCTCAGTGGTTAGAGCACTGGTCTTGTAAACCAGGGGTCGCGAGTTCAAATCTCGCTGGGGCCTTGGAAATACTTTTCTGTTCTTATTTTTTATCCTAAAAACTCAAACAAACACTGACATGATTAAAACTCTTGAGGAAGTTACTCACTAGTGCTTTAATATGCTCACGGGTACAGAAAGAGGTAGTTTAACAAAGTTTACACTGTTTCCCCATATGGTTTAAGCTGTCACATGTATTTTTTGTTTGCCAAAAAAGAAAATAGTAAAGCCGATCAAGTCACATAACTTGAAAAATCAAAATAATAAAGTTTTCTTTGTAAGTTGTACTAGCTTCTTGTTCACCACACAAACTGGCATCTCTAACACAATTTCTTATTGTCCTTTGTCACTTTCTCCAGCCAGAAAGAAACCTACTGGTCAAATAAAAATTCATTTAAAATTAAAATTTGTCATAGGTATGAATATTTTTTGACATAACCACATGATTCCTGCATATTAAATGGTTATTTTCAGATTCCACATCACATTGGATTCTGATGTTTTTTTAATAAAACTCATTACTTAGAGCAGAAATGAAAAGCAACATGATGCACACATTTGGTAGACAGAAAACAAATCAAGGACACTTGTGAAAACTCCACACTGCAGCAGTGATCATACATTCTATGGAGAATTGATTTTATTAAACTGCCAATTTTTAATCAAAAAGCCAAGACAAAAAGTGAAAGAAAACAGTTTGATTGTTGTGCTAACACGGGTACTCCTTACCTTTTGAGATCAACTTTCTTTTTAGGTTTGGGTGTGTCCAAGGTACCGTAAGGAAAGCTTTTCATGAAGTGCTGCTTGAAATCTCCCAGATATTCTTTACGGAACCACGCATCCTAAACAAAGACAACACTGTCTGTCAATTCATTTTCTTGAGCAAAAAAACACAATGAGTGATAACTGTGCATGCCTCCTCTCACCAGCGCATCCTGGTGCTCCTGCTGTGGGGCCAGTTTCCTCAGCAGCTGCAGAATAGTCAGGACCTGGAACATCACTGACATGGCGTCTGGAGAGAGCAGGTGAGCGCCTTCTGTGCTGTTCGATGGGCAGTGAGCGGTGCTGGCCTCAACCCACACTTCCAGCAGCAGAGGCACGAGCGTAGCTGCAAAGCTCTGAACGGTCTCGGCTGAGTCCAGACCCTCAGTTACTGCAGCTCCTGGGTCCACCTCAGGCCTATGCAGGGACAGAATAAAAGAAAAATGTGGCAAACATTAAAACATTAAATTTATATGACAGTGAGGCCTGTATTTTTCTATAGTGCATCTAAACTCGTAGTTTTTTGATTTTAAATAACAGCAAACACTAAATTGTTCAACATAAAAGTTACGGTAAGGTGATGCAATTTCAAATCACTTGACATTTTAGTGATGTTGCACAGTGGGGTGTACTCACTTCTTGTTATATTCTGGAAGTTGTGTGTTCATTTAAAGCCTGTCTTGGTTACTGAGGTCTGCGGTGTCTTACCTGAGTTTAAAGGTGGAGCGAGGTGTTGGTTTGGCACCAGAATGTTCGTACACTCTAACTCCGACTTTGCTGTAGATGAGCTCTTCCCAGTTGAGATACAGAGGTGTGACGCGGCCCTCTCCGCTGGAACCAAACACTCGCTCAGAAGGGGCGGACATGTCACTCTCCCCCATTGGTCTCTCTTCAACTACTGCCTGCAGAAAACGCCCGAGCCTGAAAGACAACAGCAGAAAACGTTAAGGTCCAGAATGAATGTGTGATTTTTCAGATTCTGTGTATATCTGTGTGTATGTGACTTCCATACCTGAGAAGCACAGAAAGCCTCCACTGCTGGCTGCTCACAGCCCTGTCCGGGTTAACTGTCAGCGCCCACGTCCGACCTTTGGCGTCCTGAGCCTTTCTGGCTGCTCCGCTGTTCTGTCGGTGAGAGATCAACTCTAGGAAGTTGGTTAGCAGCACTGCAGGCCGAGCAGCCAGCAGAGCCGGGTAGTGCTCCAGGAACACGTCCAGGACATTCATGGCGTCCTGCTGGATGCCGGCCTCGATGTGGGTCATGGCACAAGACAGGTGAGCACTGAGGAGCGGGAAAAACGGAGCCACTCGCTCTGCAGGCACAGACTGCGCGATAAACCTGAATGCAGATTGAGACAATCTGTTAACTGACACAGAAACAAAATTGTTCACTGTGTTGTGCTTTATTTTAGCGCTGCTTTAGCTTCTCTAACCTGAGCACACGCGTAGCTGCCACTCGAACGTTGCCATCCTTGTCGGTGAAAACAGCTGCCACTTCAGAGAGCAGCCGTGACAGATGCTGCTCTAATAGAGACGGATTGACGGACAGCAACTCTCTCAAACCCAACAAGGCACTGTGTTTCACGTTGGCATTGTAGTGGTGAAGCTGAGACAGGAGCTCCTGGAGAGGAAGCAGAAAGTATGTAGAATAAAGACAAAATGTGGTACTAAAAAGGATTTTTCTGGTTTCAACCTGATGTCAAAGGCTAGAATTTAGGATACACAAGGTGTATCTAATCAACAACAAGACTCATGTTGTTATTCAGTTTCATTTAATTTGAGCAGATTGAAACTTTCAGGTGTCGTTTATGCCCATTCATCAGTACATGATTCAGGCATGCATGCTGTGGTTTGACTGACATAAACTCTTGTTGTTTCAAAGACACACCTCGGAAGTCTTCAGCATGTCTCACCCAGAGCTGTAACTGTCATGTGAGTGGTTTCCTTGTGTGAAAGTCACACGTTTGATGTTTAATCATGTGGTAGTGCTCCATCATGTTTTAAATCTATTCCACAGTGAATATCGAACAGAAGCTTGACATTTAAAAAAAAATTACAACCAGATATTTTTACCGGATCCTTCAACCATAATTTGTACCATGTTTCTGAGCAGACATAACTTACATTGATTCCCAGCTGTCTGTGTGTTGTGGGGCCACTGGTGTCTCTCTTCAGTTGTTCAGACAGATGGATTCCCTTCGTGCGGAAGTTGGTGTTGGTGGCATTATCGGCTCTGGGCTTCTTCTTTCCCACTTTCAGCTTGACCTTCTGGAAGTCATCCTGTCGCTTCTTCTTCTTGGCCTTCATTGCTGCAGTCTAGCCCTGTAGGGGCTACAGCTGCAAAATTACACAAATTGATTTTACCTGGGGTATTCTGCATTTTATCTTTTTACCTTTTGTCTTTCACACGTTATATTTTTGCTACATTTGCCTGTAAAGCACTTTGAATAACCTCAATGTATGACATGGTGTTATATCAATAACCAACTTACACACACAAACACATAAAATACAACTATATGTAATATAATTATAATTAGTAGTTATAGTGGTATTAAGCATATATTTACGATGCTTATATATTATATACATTATCACATTTCCACAAAGCTCAATAAAACGTGAAAAAACTAAAGATCTCTTTTTCTATATTTGGATTTTACAGGGCTGGACTGCTGTCTGTTAACACACATGAGGTTAACGGAACTGAATGTGTGCACTGATTTTAATGAAAACAAAACGCTACTGACAAATGGCATGAGTTTGGATTATGACACATTGTTTTTGCAAAAACTCGCTCGGTTTTTGCACTGGTTGGCTTAAAAAGATGTACAACAGAGCTGCATCAACTGCAGCTACCTGAGCTAGCCTGTAGCTAGCTCATCCCTGCTGCAGCATCAAGCATGACAGCTGTTTGTTTCACTCACCACAGTAAACGTACTTCTACCGTCAGAAGTTCAAACCGCATCAAACACTCACTCTTCGGGAGGAATATCCAACCTGCTAACGACTATTAATACATATAAAAAGAAAAATCAGCTTTATTCCATCTCGTGTGGATGCGCTGGGTCCTTTCACTCTGTGTGTACATGTTCACAAGCCCGCTCGTTAAGTGAGCGGAGAGCTCATCGGCTGCGGGCTTTATAGCAACAAACTCTATGGTGCAGCACAATGTGGGTTTTTTAAGTTTTCAAATTACAGTTTATTCACTAACTTGAAATTAATACGAATAAAGTAAAAAACACAAGGTCAGGTGTGCTGGGGAAATTTAATACTGTGCGACTGCAGTGTGTTCCGGAAAACCCTGGTGTATAAAATAAACGCACCACATAGTTGTCCGCACAGCTGCGTTATGAATACGAACTTGTTGGTTTCTAAAATATACAGACTCGCGATTTAAGCTAGCTAATTATTATTTTGTTGTATTAATGAGATATATTTCATATTTCTGTAGGCCGTGGTAATAGAGTAGCGTTAACGTTTGTCCTTTTTTAAACAGGCGAAATCATTATACTACTATTCTCTCCCTGAAGCCACTTTCGGTTGCTAGCTAGTTCATCTTACCGACTGTGTGCTTTGGGGAATTTGCAGGTTGCATTTAAATATCCCGGGTAAGTTTCTTGTATTATCCCATTATTTTAGTCTCGGAAGTAGCTTTTATATATGGAATTTCAGCTGGCTCGGTTATTTTTTTCAAAATTATCGTAATATTGGAAAAAAAAACTAATGAAGTAAAGCCTTACTTGGCTGGGCCTCGCCGGCTTCATAGCCCTAACATGTTAGCAAACACGGAGCTAGCTATCGTTTCCTCTTACAAACTCTACAACGTCTGTCGTTTTTCTCTTGCAAAACTCACCTGGATGAAACAGAAATTGCACATTTTTCAAGGTTCGCTTCAGTGTCCAACCGGCTGCAAGACTATAAGTTGCAACTTATTTAACGTGTTCAAACCATTCCTTCATCATTAATTTGACAGATGTCTTCATCCAGGTGGTCAGAAGACTTTTTACAGATTCTAGTAAGGCATTCAGAAACACGTTGTGTGACTTAAATAATGTGGGGCTTTAAATTATCGGTTAATTTACCTCACTATTAGCTCCGCAAGTCGACTTTAAACAGGGGTTTGGCGGTAAAACCAAAACATGACCACGATAAAATGTTTAATTCCAACCGATAAAGATAATTATTGATCTCTTGTAATGACTTAATCTTAATATAAACGATAAGCAAAATGTTTAATTATAATTTAGTCACTTTACTTTAAATTTAACCACTTACACGGTCTATTTATCATGGTGCTCCAGTAATAGCGTTAAACAACAAAGAATTCACACCTAAGTGGGGCTGCGACTAATGATTAATTTCACTGTTGATTAACCTGTCAGTTATGTTATTAATTCTGTCAAAGTCCGTCAGAGACTGCTGTAATTCCAGGCTTTTATTGACATCTTCATCTTTTTATTATAAAGATGTGAATGACGGACACTCTCCTCAGTCTCTCTAAAAAACTAGCATTTCTTATGAACACTGTTTGCGCTATCATCAATCTGCATGCTCACAAATTTAAACTGACCCCGAACACCCTTAGACGGTCCATGCAGACCCTAGCAGACTTAAATAGATGATAAATTTACATCTTGTGGATCCTCATGATTATTTGGAAAGTATGATTTGGTGTATTACTTTCTGCAAGTGTATGCATGATGTAAAGTCCATTGTCTCCCCAAGTCTGCGAGAGTCTGAAAGGACCCTTCTGCACAAATGCTGTGTTGACTGCATTCAACCATGTATATGTCAAGGCACAGACTGGAATTCCATCCCAGGCCAGCTTTGATTACAAGATTCTGATCTGGGCCAGCAAGTCAAATTCCAATTTGGGTCAGCCAAGATCAGAATTCCAATCTGGGTTAGGTTAGTGTCAAGATTCCAATCCTGGCCTGACAGGATCAGAATTCCAATCTGGGTTCAACCCAGATCAGAGTGAAGGGAAAAAAATGAAGATTCCATTCCAGGCTGGCCTCGAATAGAATTCTGATCTGGGGCGACCCAATTCAGAATCGGGCCAGATTCCAATCTGGGCCTTGACATGTATGTTTATCAGCAGTGGGCATGTGTAGAATACACAGATACGACCTACTGTACATGTATGCAACAGAGCCCCTAAGGTAGACTCCCATGAACGAAAAAGTAGTATAGTAGCAACAACTACCGCAGACATGCATGCATCACTGCATCCATCTGCATTTGTATCCATGAGGGGGTAGGTTGGCCTGGACCAGGTATCACCACACTGAGTCCCCACACCAGCCTCTTTATGCACTCCAACATCAAGTCCATTAGCCTTTGTCGCTGGCTGCTGGGAGAGCGTCACTTAGGTGGACGTAGTGGGGACCGTACGGTCATGGATGGTTTTAAACTGCAAAGAGAACAGAAGAGGGCGAAGTGACTCTGTTATTAAGGGACATGACGGGCTGTTTATGAGCCAGCACGCCTGGAGTTTGTTCACTCAGCTGAACTTTGCACCTTTTTGTTAAGTGCGCTCATGTTGGCCGACATCTGATGCATTTGAGTGCGACTATCAAACATTCTATCAAGCAATTTTCTTGTTGCTATTGATAAAGTGTAAACTGTCGGTACAAAATGATGTTGTTTTATAGTGCGGGTCTGGTTTAAATTGATAAAGAGGCACGTTGGGGCTTATCTTGGCCTGAGAAGACAAAAACAATGCAATAGCTGTTAATCCACATAACTCATAAACCACTAATTAGAGCATGTTTGTGTCTTGAAAGGAGATCAGTTGGTAAATGAGTAATTTTTGACACAAGCTCCCTCTTTGTGTCACACTAGAGAAGCTGAGAAAATGGAGGCTCCGTCTTCATTAAACCAGCCTCCACCCAAAAATGGGCCGCCATATCAAAAGAGAAATCTAAAGGTAAGTATCACACCATGGCTGCACTTCGCCACCACATAGATAACGATATCAACTTCAGAACCAACTGCACAGTTGCATACTTGTTGCTCAAAAAGGAAACATGATTTTCTCATGATATTTTTCTTCTTAATTATGTTGTTTACTGGCCTTTGTGATGCCTGATGGAGTCTTTGGTGGGCTGCCTCTGAGTGTACAGTCTGCTTTTTTTTTTTTGCACTCTGCTTAATGCGGACCTTATTCGGTGGTCTTTGCTTCACATCTGAGGTCTGCCATCACTGTTGTGGTTTAATAGACTTTTGTAGCACCAGGTTTGCGAAGTCCAGAGGCTTAACTTCACTATACCAGCACTTTTTGTGATGTTGTGAAACTTTTATCATTTTTTTTAGATAAACGTGTTTATTTGAACTAATACTAAGTGGCAGGCCACTCACTTTTCATTTTTAGAGTGCTGTCATGTTCATGATAGAAGTGGAAGTCACGGATCATTTTGTTGATTCGTATCACTTTGTTCTGTTATAATCACTGGCGGTTTAGTTACTTAAATTTTTCCGTCGGCTAAGTGGTCACATCGCTGCTCCAACGCACTTCAGTGCGTAAAGCAGCAAGTGAACACATTACCCTTTTATTGCCATGACGTTCAAACCGCCTTCACTTCAGTCTGTTGATAAACACAACTGTTATGGTCAGCTTTATTACAGAACTATCGATACAAGCACTGCACGTAAGGTTGATAACTCTGCAGTCCATTATGGATGACAGGAAGTACTGAAACACACATCCTAAAATGTTTGTTTTAAAAGCCGTTACTTGCGTAACATGTAAATCAGACCACCGTCGTTCTGAATACATCATCTATCCTGATGTTTTACTTTTCAGAGCTACAGGCAGCATTTTTAATGTTCCTTGTGACTACCTGCTTGTTTGTGTCTGCTGTCTTGTGTCCCATTACAAAGATTAAGGCTTCGAAGTATAACAGGAATGACTTCCATGCTTTATACAGCTTACGAAACAAACTGACATCACTCCCTCGTCATGCAAGAGGGTGCATGTTTAGTTATTTTTCACATCATTTAGATTCAGTGTGCCCACACACCCAGTTTCACTCTCTTGGGAAAATTCCTGAGGTCTTGACATCAGCATACTTGAACGTGGCCACTTTAGAGCAGCAGGTTTGCATACTGAACTCTGTTTCTTCCCTGTTTAAGTGTTGCTGTTTTACATTCTCATTTGATGAGAATTCAGACTACATCACTTAGATGGCTTTTGCACATTCTGTGACTGCCGCTGCTTCATGCCGCTGCTTCAGTCATGAAGAATGAGGAAACAGTGGCTCTCTGGCACATAAGGTGCGGCGGATGTGGACCAAGTGTCCAGTTCTCTGCAAATCCTGTCACTAATTCATGTGTGTGTCTCTCTCCTTCTCGTGGGTTTATTCCCTCTGATGACAGAGAAAGCAGCCGCAGAATTCTGCCGAGATAGGTAAGTGTTTTTTACACACTGCGCCACTTCCAGCGCTGAGAGTTGAAGCTTGAGACTTTTCTGCTTCATGTCACGGGTGGTGGCTTGTTCACCACTTGGTGAGGCTCTCACCCTCAGAGACTGGGGGAGCCTGCTGTGGTGCAAATCACATTTTTTGAACACCTCAACCCATTCTCCTAAAATGTTGCTTCATTGAAGGTCTGCACCATAAGCCCCATTCGTCCCAAGCAACACTAAACATGGTCTAAGGACATACAGTAATACAGCCATGCATCTGCAGTGGTTGCTCATTAAGTTTGTATGCACGTTTTGTGTGCTGTGACAGTTGAATGCAAGCTACTTTTTGCAAATAGTAGCCGTTGTTACACTGGTTTCTTAATCAGAGAAAACCACACCTGAGTATTTTAAGTTATGCAGGGGTTTTATGGTGCATTTGCAGGAGGACTGCTTCGTGAGTGCAGCTCAGAAGTGACTGTTTCTGTGGCTGAGCACAGTAAGAAGCAGTGCATCATGGGATTTGGTGTCCTGCAGCCCAGTTTGGGTCCAAACGGGGGTTAGCTGAGAACTGCTGCTCCCGTTCTTCTCCCAGGCTTCAAAAGCACACATGAGGAGTTTGGGTGTCTAATGGTTGTTCAGTTAGTACAGAAAGAATAAAACCTTGTGGCCCTGAAAGGCTGCAGGTAGAGTAAGAACACAGCACACTTTCACTGTCGTCTTTACTGGGATTATGGTGGTTGATGGTTTCTCCCAAGATATTTACAACAGAGCTAAAATATAAACGCAGCATGTAAATGGACTTGTTCTCAGACTTTAAGGAAATATCTCATTTCAGTCTTTGTGGTCAGAAAAGGGTTAAATGTCGGTCAGGTGAGGCTTTAAAAGGCAATGATCAGACGGTGACTCTTACACAGACAGTCCTTTGACCAGAGACTATAAAAGTCAAAGATACAGCTTTATGTTCAACAGATTACAAGAAAAAGATGACTAGAGATGCTGGCATGTCAGTTAAAGCCGTAGCCAGGCACTTGAATATCCACAACTCTTTTTTTGTTTATCATCTTAGAAAATCATTTTAGACAGACGATCTGCCACATGTCACCAATCGAGCCCAGAAATGTCACATCCAGCTCGTTCATCTACCAAATTGTTTGCAATCAGCTGCAGAGATCCTGTTAAAGTTGCTGATGTGAACAGCCAGTCCTCCCCAAGGCCTTAACCTAACAGCAGAATGGCGTCGTCATCTGCTCTGTGGGAAATTATGTTGGACACTAGCAAGGTTGAGGACAATCCTTTTCATTGAGAAATCTTGTTTTCAGTGTTCTGTACTGAGCAGATCGCACATATAGTGGCCCATAGAGGTGGAATAGTGACTGAACAGGCAAGGATAAGCTACAGACAATTTCAATTCCGAACGATATCAAGATGAAATCCTCACACTCGTGGTTTTCCTGTTAATTCTCCACCATCACTTGACGTTCCAACAAGACAACGCTTGGTCCTCATGTCTCCAGAATCTGCACCGTTCTTCCAGTAGCTGAAAATGTTCCAGTCCTACCACAACCTGCAGATTCTCCAGACATGTTTAACATCTACAGGATGCTCTGCATGTCCAACAAAACAATCCTGTCCTCTAAAAATGTCTGCCAACTTCTTGAAGCCCTTCAGGAAGAGTGGGACAACATTTCACAAGCTGCATCGACAACCTCGTTAACTCTCTAATACATGACTCATGACTGACTCCTTATGCATATTATTATTATTTCCAATATACTTGGTTGTTCCATGGAATCCATTCTGTTGTAGAGATCCTTTATGTTAAAAAAAAAAAAAGAATAGATAGAATTGGATTGAATTTTACATGCTGCCTTTATATTTTTGTCCAATATATCTTGGTGGACATAAACGTTGATTCTTGAACAAATATTGAACATTTCCGTGATGTTGACCACTGTTGTGTTTTTGCAGTTTTCACAAAGGGGGCTTCTATCCACACCATGCCGTCTCTCAGCAAACAGTTGAAGGGGATTACAGAGTGTGTCATTGGTAAGCAGAGGGACTGTTAAGGTTGCCTCCTTCTCTTTCTACATACAGAAATGCAATAAATGAGATGGTCACATGTGTGCAGGCCTCCAGTATGTGTGGGAGTACCGCAGCCCCAGTAAATCCGTCCCGCCGCACTACCAGTGCAAACTGTGCGCCATGTCCCGCTTGCAGCACGACATGCTCGATCACGTGAAAGGCTGGAAACACAGCTTCAGATACATGGTGAGGGTTGTCGCTTTGCTCGTCTGCCCCAAAGTCGTGATGGTGCAGAATTATAAGAACATTTTCTCTACCTTTTCCACAGAAAAAATGCCACCCTGACAAGGTGACCTGTGAGGAGGAAGACGCCGTCAAAGACCCTGTTGTCAGAAAGGCGGTGAAAGAAGCTGCTGCCGAAGTGGAGAAGACAGAAGGGAGGGGACAGATCAAGGTGATTTGAAGTCTGTGTCTACACTGATGGCCTCCTTTTTACAGACAAAGCACATTATTGATCCTCCACGGGAAACTGCGGTGTTGTAACAGGAAGTTCCATATCACAAAACACACATAACTTGCACTGAGTTGAGATCAGAAAGGAAAACACATGTGCCTACAAACACCACTGCATTAGAAAAAAAGATCTAAGTTTTATTATGGACTAGATTTACTTGAGAAATCTTTAGAAATGTAGGTCTGTTAAGGGGTTGTGTTTACTTTGGAGGTTTTGCTCCTAATTGTGAGGGGAAAAAAAAAACAAAATGCCATTGAAGAGGCAGTTTTTGGGTGTCTTTTGCACATTTTTACTCACTGTAGGCTCATTTTACTGCAATATAAAGTCCTGCACCTCTATGGAAAGTGCACAACCATGACTAGAAGGGGAGAAAATGCAGTGACAGTTCTAATAATTTAAAAAAAAAATTTATTTACAAAGATTTAAAAAACAGATTCACATGTTCAACATTTTTTCCAAGTGCCCACAAGTGTTACCAATATTGAAAAGAAAAACTGGACTCCACAAAGTATATAAATATTTTACTACTTTCATTTTTTTCACAACCTCCAGGAGCACAGAGTTGTTTTTTGGGTTGTTTTTTGTACAGAATCTGGTGCAAATGGTTTACGTTTGGCCAACTTGTGAGTGAGACATGTAAAACAAAGTGATTTTGATGAAATATAACAATTTTAAGATTATTTTTTAGTTATTTTTCTTTTCAAAACTTCATGTCAGGCTTGATGCTTTCACAGACCATCCAGTTAGGTTCTTTGTTCTTTGTTCTGTTAAATGGATTAATTTTGGCCAGTTTTGGGTTCAGAGACCTAAGCACCATTTAAGAGCTCATATTATGATCATTTACAGGTTCAGAATTGTATTTTTTGGGGTCTAATAGAATGCGTTTACATGCTTTTCTGTTTTTCAGGTGCTCTTGAAGGAACCGTTTGAAGTGCCTGCTTTTAAAGGACTCCGTAAGTCACTCTGATGTACTCACAAGGTAGCAGACTGTTGACATAAAAAGTAATGCATAGGTTTTTTAAAGACAGGCTTAGTTTATAAGTGTGAGATTGCCAAAGTTATCTTTTCACTTTAAAAAAAAAAAAAAAAACAACATTAATTTTGTCTATTTTTTTTTTTTTGCAAACTGCGGTAATTTCATTACTTTTCTGAGTCTTTCCTTTTTGTTTTTCCTTCCTCCCAGGTTCTGCTGTTCCTAAAGCTGCTCCTCCACCAGCTCCAGGGATGGCACTCATGGGACCACCCTTTGGTGAGTCTTTGTGTTTGAAGTAAACTCTGTCAAAGCATTTGTCCTTCATATATTGAACGATGGTATGAATTGTAATGAACATGTATCTCACAGGTCCCAGGTTCCCTGAGTCCAGGTTTCCAGGTGAGTTTCCTCCCCACCGCCCTCCTCTTCTCGACTACCCAGGGGGCGAGTACAGAGAGCCCGGCTTTGGAGGCTTCCCCAACAGACAAGAGTTTCCTGACTCCGGTATGGATGGGAGGCCTTTCTCTGATGGTATGGGTCGCCGCCCACTTGGGGGTGGAAATGGTTTTGGTCCAGGTGATGGCAGAGATGGCTTTGGAAGGAGTGGACTGCTGGATGAAAGCCCAAGCAAAATGTATCCGGATCCATTCCGGGGCAACCAGATGGGCGGAGGTTTATTGGACAGACCCATGGA